TCCCTGCAGTTCATTTTTGCAGTTGTTTCCCTTGCCTTTGGAGACGTGTTAAGTAAGAAGTTGCTGTGGCCAAGATCAAAGAGGTTTTTGCCTGCTTTCTCCTCAAGGATTTTGATGGCTTCCTGTCTTACATGGAGGTCTTTCATCCATTTTGAGTTTATTTTTGTGTATGGTGTAAGAAAGTGGTCCAGGTTCATTGTTCTGCATGTCACTGTCCAGTTTTCCCAGCATCACTTGCTGAAGAGACTGTCTTTATTCCATTGGATAGTTTTGCCTGCTTTGTCAAAGATTAGTTGGCCATACGTTTGTGGGTCCATTTCTGGGTTCTCTGTTGTGTTCCATTGATCTGAGTGTTTTTGTGCCATGTTTTTGTTTTTAAAGGTTTATTCATTTTTCAGAGATAAAGAAACAGAGCATGAGTGGGGGAGGGGCAGAGAAAGAGGGAGACACAGAGTCCTAAGCAGGCTCCAGACTCCGAGCTATAAGCACAGGGCCCTATGCTGGGCTCAAACTCACAGACCATGACCTGAGCTGAGGTCAGACGCTCTGAGCCACCCAAGTGCTCCCCCCGCCCTTTTTTTTTTTTCTTACATCTCACCAAATTGTTGAGACTTCACTTATTCCACTCTCTCTTCCCCCTTCAAAAATAACCATACTTATTGTATGTATCTCTTCTGACCAACTTAAAGGTTTAAAACAAATAATACTCATTAGAGGCTCCTGGCTGCCTTAGTCAGTGCAGCATGAGACTTTTGATCTTACGGTTGTAGAGTCAAGCCCCACCCTGGATGTAGAGATTACTTAAAAATAAAATCTTTAGAAGAAGAAGGAGGGGGAGGGGGAAGGGAAGGAGGGCGAGGAAAACATAATACTCATTAAATATAGGCCTTTGATTTTTTTTTAACTTTGGCTTCTGATATTAATGGGTTATTTAGAATATTAATATGGAGATACTCTTGGAATTACATCGTTGGCTGCCATTCTTTCCTTCATGCCTTAAACAGAACTAACAGTTGAATTTTAATAGTTTGTGCAGGGTACTGGTTTCTTCCCATGCAAATGTGTACTGAACAGAAAAAGTAAAAAATAAATAATAGAAGTTTCTCATGTCACAGCTTAGATTTAGCACCTGATGTACAGATCACTGAGGGTCCTTGGGGAGAGAGTCTCCAGTGAAAGCCTGTGACAAACTGTACATGCATTAGATGTGGCCTGTTACTTGAGTAGCATGTAGTTTTATGTTCCCCTGAGAAAATGTCTTTTACTCCATAGCAGGAAGTCTCAGTCTATAAAATATGAGAAAACAGAGGCTTATATGTATAATATACTGAATTGAATCTTTGAGAACATAAGTCAATTGATACCCTCTTCCTATACAGAGCATATTTTAAATAGAACATTTTTGAAAATATGATTCCACTGTTTTTGAAAGTTGTCAAAATAGGGGCGCCTGGGTGGCTCAGTCAGTTGAGCGTCTGACTACCACATACCCCCCTCTTGCCTTTTTCAGACATAAAGGGCATAAATAGGGCCTGAGGTAGAGGGACTTGGTTCTGTGTGTTTAAAATATAAGAACACTGGGCCTGGAAGGGAGCAGAGTGGGAAGGCCTCCCGGCTCAGGGGCAACTTTCAAGGCAGTTTTTCTGCAGAGAGACAGTGTATGTCTCTGTCACAACAAAGAGGAGGGTATAGTAAAGAAGAGCTGAGGCTCCAAAGACAGGACTTGAATTTCCATGTTTATCCTGTTGTCTTGAAAAGCCGCTTGTTCATTTTGGTAGTCGTCTGGCATCTGGTGAAGTTGTGTGTTCAATATCTGGCACCTGCTGCATAGGAAGCTGCCTTCATTTTAGGGATGATGTTAATATATTGGATGAATATGGGCCCCATCCTCAGCTTTACTCCTCTCTTACAACATTTAAACGTGAGAATTGGTTTCTTCCCCAGAGTTGAAAATCAGTATTCTTGATCAACTTTTAAGTTATATATGGCTTTTATACATTAGGATGTAAATATTAGTTTTTGTTATTTTCATTGTGCAATAATTAACTTGTTTTTTAAGTGAAGTGCTTTTCTATGTTTTCATGTAAATTTGAAAATATGACTTCAAAATTTTAATGATGATATTTTTCCTACCCAGAGTCATAGAAAAGAAGCTTAATTATTGCCAACTTCACTTCCATACTGTAAAAAAGCATGGAGAAAAGGTAATATTTTCATGAGGTTTTTTTTTTTGTTTGCTTTTAAAGTATGTATCTGTTTATATGTCTAAACTTTTCCATTCTGTTAAACTCACCTGACCCGTGGAAAGTTTTGCTGGTTTGAGTTAGAACTGCTGTATACATGTTTATTTTGGAGAAGCGTGGTTGGTGAAATAATACTCTTTTGCCATGTGAAGAGCCTTCAGACCTGTGCCATCAGATAGGGTAGCCTTTAGTCATAGATAACTATTATAATTTAAGAATGAAATTGAACTTACACCAATTCCCTGAGTCAACTACATTCCAAATACTCAAATGGCCCCATTGGCTGGTTGCTACCATACTCTCTTACTGATAGGATCGGTATGTTCATTTGCTAAGAAAGTTCTTCCCAAGTGGTCGTCACAGATGACTCTAAGGAACCTAAAGAACTTCAAGTTCAAGGACTATAGACCTTTTGATAGTTTAAATCTTTACTTATCTCTACAATCTTGAGGCTGTGCATCCTTCCCGATTCCTTTAATTGCAGGAAGAAAAAAAATACGATTTGTGAGGGGGAGAACATGATGTACTTAAAACTACTTTTTAAAAAAAGAAAACATTTTGACATGGCCAATATGAGACTGAAAAGGTCAAAATCATACCAGAGTTTTTTTAAAGCATTTTTTGAATAGGATCCCAATCTAGAACCTCAGATTCTAGAGGATTTCTTTTAAAAGGAAAACAGTTGCTAATGAAGTAGTATTCACTTTTTATTTGTCTGTCTGTGCTGTAAAGTGTGGATAACCATGTTGACTTGTTGGTTGGACGTGGTTGGTTCTGTTGTTGTTTTTTGTTTTATCTTTGTTTTGTTTTTACTATTTTTTTAAATTTTTTAATTTACATCCAAATTAGTTGGCATATATGCAACAGTGATTTAGGAATAGATTCCTTAATGCCCCTTACCCATTTAGCCCATCCCCCCCTCTCCCACAACTCCTCTAGTAACCCTGTTTCTTCTCCATATTTGAGAGTCTCATGTCTGTCCTCTCTCCTCATGAGCATTATTTTGCTTCCTTCCCTTGTGTTCATGTTCTGTGTTCAAAGTCCTCATATGAGAAGTCTCACCTATGATATTTTATTCTTTCAATTTCAATTTACATACAATACCCTCCAAAAGTCCCCATCCACTTGGCTGCAAAATGGCAAAGATTTCATTCTTTCGATTGCCTAGGCAATGCTTCATTGTATATACAGATACCACTTCTTATCCATTCATCCATCGGCGGACATTTGGGCTCTTTCCATACTTTGGCCATTGCTGATAGTACCGCTTATAAACATTAAGTGTAAGTGCCCCCTTCAACAGCATCCCCATCCCTTGGATAAATACCTGTAGTGCAATTGCTGGTCAGTAGGGTAAGTTCTCATTTTTAATTTTGAGATCCTCCATTGCTTTTCTCTCCAGACTGGCTGATGGCACCCAGTTTGCAGGGTCACTATCCGCAGGCAAAAGAGATCCTCTTTTCTCCTCAAGCATCCTCCGCCAACATCTGTTGTTGCCTGGGTTTGCCTGTTAATGTTGGGCCATTCACAGGTGGGGAGGTGGCACTCCAATTGTGGTTTTGATTTGTATTTCCTGATGATGAGTGATGTGAGCATTTTTCATGTAAGCCTGTTGGCCATCTGGATGTCTTCTTTTGGAGAAGTGTTATTCATGGCTCCATTTCTTCACTGATTATTGTTTTGGGTGTTATTTGATAAGTTCTTTATAGGATTTTGGGATACTTAAACCCTTTATCTGATATGTCGCTTTGCAAAATATCTTGTCCCATTCTGTCAGTCATGCCTTTTAGTTCTTGCTGATTGTTTCCCTTTGGCAGAAGCTTTTATTTTGATGAGGTCCCTGCAGTTCATTTTTGGCAGTTGTTTTTGCCTTTTGAGACGGTTAAGTAATAGTTATGGCCACAAGATCAAAGAGGTTTTTGCCTGCTTTCCCTCTGCCGATTTTGATGGCTTCTGTCTTACATGGAGGTCTTCATCCATTTTGAGTTTATTTTTGTGTGTACATGGTGTAAGAAAGTGGTCCAGGTTCATTGTTCTGCATGTGTCACTGTCCAGTTTTCCCAGCATCACTTGCTGAAGAGACTGTCTTTATTCCATTGATGTTTTGCCTGCTTTGTCAAAGATTAGTTGGCCATACGCCTAGGGTCACGTCCATTTCTCAAGGTTCTGTTCCATTGATCTGAGTGTTTTTGTGCCATGTTTTTAGCCAAAGGTTTATTCATTTTTCAAAGAGATAAAGAAACAGGAGTACGAGTGGGGGAGGGGTGAGAAAGAGGGAGACACAGAGTCCTAAGCAGGCTCCAGACTGGAAAGCTATAAGCACAGGGCCCTATGCTGGCCCAAAACCACAGACCATGACCTGAGCTTTTCGAGGTCAGACGCCTGAGCTACCCAAGTGTTTCCGCTTTTTTTTTTTTTTTTTTTTACATCTCAACTGGGTAAATTGTTGACTTCATCCCACTCTCTTCCCCTTCAAAAATAACCATACTTATTGGTATGTATCTTCTGGACCAACTTAAAGGTTTAAACAAATAATACTATTAGAGGCCTCCTGGTTGCTCTTAGTCAGTGCAGAGACTTTGATCTTACGCATGCCAGAGTCAAGCCTCACCCTGGAGATTACTTAAAATAAAATCTTTGTAGAAGGAGGGGAGGGGAAGGGAAGAGGGCGAGGAAAAACATAATACTCATTAAATATAGGCCTTTTGATTTTTTTAACTTTGGCTTCTGATATTAATGGGTTATTTAGAATATTAATATGGATACTCTTGGAATTACATATCGCTGGCTGCCATTCTTCTTTCCTTCATGCCTTAAAAACATATCACAGTTGAATTTTAATATTTGTTAGGTACTGGTTTCTTCCCATGCAAATGGCAATGTGTACTGAACAGAAAGTAAAAACAAATAATAGAAGTTTCATGTCACAGCTTAGATTTATACACCTGATGTACAGATCAATCGGTCCTTGGGGAGAGTCTCCAGTGAAAGCCTGTGACAAAACTGTACATGCATTAGATGTGGCCTCTGTTACTTGAGTAGCATGTGTTTTATGTTCCCTGAGAAAAATGTCTTTACCTCCATAGCAGGAAGTCTCAGTCTATAAAATATGAGAAAACAGAGGCTTATATGTATAATACTGAATTAACCTTTTGAGAACATAACACCAGATACCCTTCTTCTCCTACAGAGAGCATATTTTAAATAGAACATTTTTTGAAAAATATGATTCCAATTGTTTTGAAAGTTGTCAAAAATAGGGCTTGGGTGGTTTCAGTCAGTTGAGCTGCCTGACTTAGCTCAGGTCATGATCTCACCCATTCATGGGTTTGAGCCTGAACAGGCTCTGTGCTGACAGTTCATAGCCTGGAGCCCGTTTAGATTGTAGAAATCTCCCTCTCTGCCCCCTTCCCTGCTTATGCTCTGTCTCTCAAAATGAATAAATGTTAAAAAAAAAAAATTTTTTTTAAGTTGTCAAAATAATGGTTAAAAAAGGATCCCTAGGGGCACCTGGGTGGCTCAGTCGGTTGAGCGTCTGACTTGGGCTCAGGTCATGATCTCATAGCTTGTGAGTTCAAGCCCCATGTCAGGCTCTGTGCTGACAGCTCTCGCCTGGAGCCTTGCCTTTGATTTTTGTGTCTCCTCTCTCTCTCTGCCCTAACCCATACCTCCTCGTGCAGATTCTGTCTCTGTTCCTTCTTAAAATAACAAACTT